AAAAACTTCATATTTATCACCATTTGATGCATGTTCAACCATCTTCGTAAGCTTCTCACGCCATTCTTGTGATCGTTTTTCAAGTTTCTCTTCTTGCGTTTTAAGTTTCTTTTTAGACTTAAACATAGTTTCTAAAAAAAAATAATTATAATTCATTATAATTTAAATAAATATGAATAATTTATTATAATGCAATCTAAGATTATTAAATAATACACACTTGCATTCATTTTTTTGGATTTCAGATCAAAAATTTCTTGAAACCCAATAAAAATAATATCGGGTGACTTTGTACTTGTGAGCCATAGTCTCATAAATTTAATCCCATCCGAAGATTTGTCTAGATCAGCAGGTTTGCAAGCACCAATATTCCATGAACAGATCAGAACTTTGATATCCCTATATTCGCAATAAGTTTTCTCTCGTAACCTCATTTGATTAGCTTGTAAAAAAAGTAAATGATATGTTAACTTTAGATTTTATATGATCGATTCGATAATTAAATACTTACCAATCCAATCTTGTTCTATCAACCCATCCCAAATCATAATTGACCCTTCTGAACTACAGCTTGCAACCTGTAATCGACCAACTCTCCATAATCCTTCTTCATCCAACTGCATATCAATAACTGGTGATTTTTTGTGGGCCTCCCAATCTTTTATGATGCTCCATGGCCTTTTTGTGACATCATATATATATATCATGCCGGTCTTAAAGCCAACCCAAAGATAGTCATTAACACCCAGTATAGACGTGATACTATAATCAGACGCATGAATTAATGCTACCCGTTTATATGATTCTGCATTCCATACTGAAATTCTGCCATCTTCATGTCCGATATAAACAAGTGATGAATTATTGGTTTGTGTCATGCATGTTATATTCCCAATTTTCGTTCCGATATCAATCTTTTTAACATTTACATCACGTCTATTATGAGGATTAAAAATTTCAATTTTTCTTTCAGCGGCTGTCCAAAGGTAATCATCAACAATAATTGCGCAAGTCTGGTTGGGTGCAATACGAAATGGTTCTGGTGTTGATTTAAGTGAAATGACTCCATCACTATCTCCAGACCATATTAATAACTTTCCATCAACGTCCAGAGTCCATAATTGGGTATGCAACTGAGTTTCATAGCGAAATATAAAATTTATGGAACTATTATGAGCTTTTCGATTCATTTCAAAATACTTATCTTCACTACGAATATCAATCGCAAACAAATGTCCATCATTACCACCACACCATATATAACGTCCAACATCTTCTACACGATGTGCTGGACGCCAACACAAACATGTCACTTTTGAATCGTCATGAGAAATTGTATTTGTAGTTTCTCCATCAAGAATTGACCACACACGAGTATGACCAGAATCAGTGATTACAACATCGCCTCCGATTGCAATTGCGCGTGTTGAAGCCTTACCAGAAATGCCTCTAATTCCCTTATAACTAGGTGGTCTACGATTAATATGAGATGCATCAGGTCTCTCATCGTCAGATTGAGCAGGGTCAACAAAATTTGAGTCTAAATATGCTCGTGAAGTTTTCCTTGGGGGCTTGCCGTGAGCTCTATTGTTATTATCACTGTCGTCAGCAGACACACGATGTGTCAACACTGGACGATTAGGAGGAAGTGGCGGCGGTGATGGTTTATTAGCTTTTGGAGGTCTAGAAGGTAATGGTGGTGCATATCCAGGATTATCATCATCTGTGTGTCTGTGCAGATTTTTTGAATTACTGGTTGAAGATTGCGTATTACTAGCCCTCATAGGCTTGACAGGCTTGCGTGGTGGCTTGTTAGGCGTTATGTGAGTACGTCGAAATCCCGAGTCTTTATCGGGAGGTGATTCAGACAAAATTAACTCGTTTGTGTATTCATTATCATCTGTAAAAGGATTAATTTCTTGTGAGTCATCAAATGGATCATCATCTAATAAAGAATTCGAAGATTTTGAAAGCGAAGGAATGAGCTTTGTAGATGATCGTTTAAATCCATTTTTGTTCAATGGCTCATCAGACTCTACGTCGGTACTATGTGCTGAAGATTCTCTTGATGATAACGCAACAGTTGGTCCCCTTTGAAGTTGTCGCTTCGGTTGCTGATTCACGGTTACCGTATTAGGAAGTGAGGCAGTACGGGAATATTTCTTATTATCCTCATTCACATTATGACTATTAACTAATCCTGAAGTTTGAGAATTTTTTGGTTGATGCAGCTTTTCAAACCTAGATTTCAACGAGCTAACAGAGCTTACTTCGTCAAACTTATTCTGGTCGGCAAATGTACCACTTTCCATCTGTACTAGCAGAAGGCAAAACGAGGAAAAAAAGGTTTAATTCTTAAACAATACACAATAAATAGTTTTTTTCACTTATGTTTTTGTTTTTGAAGGTATTAGATCGAGAATGCTGTTTAATCGTACATTTTATTGGCTTGGAAATACATATTTGTTTATTTGTTACATACATAATAATATCTTGTCATTCCTTGTCATTATATTGGACGCATGACATGCCACTCAAAAATTTTGCAACACATAAAAAATGTGTGCAGAAGATTGGTTCAAAAAAATTATTATTTATCATTTAAATAAAAAGATACAAAATTGGTAAATTATGATCCTATGACGTGATACGAGTAATTGACACGATTATCTACACTACGCAAAAAAAAATGCTTTAACCAATTAAACTAATTGAAATTAATTTATAAAAAAGTTGGTCAACTAATAGATTAAAAAAAAAATTTGCCAAGCCAAGCCAAGCCGATAAATTTATTGAGCTTAGCAGTATCGGTATGACGCAAAAATATCGTTGGATTATTTGATAGTGTTGGGTACAAATAACTTCTGATTAAAAGACAATTTCTATCTGTATATTGTGTGTAGATGGGCTAGGTGCTGGCGAAATTGACATTTTTTTCAAAAGAAAATTTTTCTATATTAATCAATTTAAAATAATAGAATCATTTTTTACTTAAAATACAAAAGTAATTGTATTAATAAAATTTGCAGATTATTATATCCGAATCCTATAATCGATGGATATAACAAATTAACTACTAGCTCAAACTATTTAAATATCTTGGGTTTTCTATTACTTCTAATATTTTACAAAATATTTTATATACTATTTTAGCAAATTCTATTTTGTTAAAATTTATACTATCTTCATATTCGAAATATCTTAATTTTAAAAAAAAAATTTATTACTATTATATTTTTTATTTAGATTAACTTATTTGATATTTTTATCTTTTTTTTAGCTAAAAACATCTTATCCG